TGGTGCAATCTTCAAATGCTGTAACACTAAGAAAATAAGAGCCTTTGGGAGAATACATTCTTTCAAGATCTTAACCAAAGCATATTTTATGGTTTAGCAATAAAGTTACATGGTATAAAAAAACACAAGTAACAGATGGCATAATATTTATTGAAGTTCAGTCATAGATATGTTTAGTGTCAAATTTTAAAAAAACAAATGTACTTTTTACTAAGTATGATGAAACCACCACTTTATACAGACCTGGTATTTCTGTTTCTCATTTGAAAATAATATTTTTCCTAGGGTGGAGTATATATTTCTTAACTTTCAAAGGCAAGGCATTAGAGGATTGGAGAGATACTATTGTGGGGAAAGCATGTCCCTTGCATGTGGCCAACCCATGATCGATCCTCAGCACTGTCACATAAGGTCACCTTAGCACAGCCAGGGCAATCCCTGCATTTTGAACTAGGAGTAAAACCTGAGTACAGCAGGGTGTGGCCAAAACACTAATAATTTAAAAGAAAAAAAGATGTTGGGGCCAGAACGATAGTACAGCGGGGAGGGTGTTTGCCTTGCGAGCAGCCGACTGGGGTTCGATTCCTGGCATCCGATATGGTCTCCCAAGCACCACCAGGAATAATTTCTGAGTGCAGAGCCAGGAGTAGTCCCTGAGTATTGCTGGGTGTGACCCAAAAAGCAAAAGTAAAATAACAACAACAACAAAAAGATGACGATTGTATATTTTTTAAGGTTTGCTCGAGTGGGCCCAGTAACGTCTCCATTGGAGACTTTGTTGTTACTGTGTCTGGCACATCGAATACTCTCGGTAGCTTGCCGGGCTCTCCGAGAGGGGCGGAGGAATAGAACTCGGGTCGGCCATGTTGGCCGCGTGCAAGGCAAATGCCCTACCCGCTGTGCTATCGCTCCAGCCCATTATTTAAGGTTTAATAATGTTTTATTTTAAGAATTGTTATAGAATTTTAAGCGTGTCCTCCAGGTAATACTTACCTCTTCATTGCATTTTTGTAAACTAAACAAGTCGTAGAAACACAAAATGTTATAAGTGCATTTACAGTATATTTTTTTAGTTTTCCAAACACCTATCTTAATGCATAGTAACCTGAGAATTCATATTAGGAAGCTAAGGAGATTGCTTCTAGGGCTGCAACATGTTTTAGCATGAGCACAGGGAATCCTCTCTCAGTGTCCCCGGGACTTTATGCAGTAACAGGGATAGAATTGTCGATTATGTGCCAGATAAGCACTTTAACCCTGATACTACATCAGGCCCTGGCCTGAAATTTTGACTTTTTTCTAAACATTTTTCAAAATTTCCAAAGGTTTTCAAGACATGGAAACAGATCTAAGAAAATATAAGACAGTACTATTTGTGTAGAATGTATTAAAAATAGCCAGTTTACTATCACAACTTGGTTCCCATGGAAAGATGCTGAAATAGTATAATAGTTAAACACTTAGCAATTATTTGGAATTCCTTATTTAATCAGTGAATAAATTCACCCTATAATAGCTTGTTGGGCCAAAACCGATAGCTAGGGTGTTTGCCTTGCACGCAGCCGACCTGGGTTTGATTCTTCTGCCCCCCTCGGAGAGCCCGGAAAGCTACTGAGAGCATCCCGCCTACATGGCAGAGCCTGGCAAGCTCCCCGTGGCATATTCAATATGCCAAAAACAATAACAGGACTCACAATGGAGACATTACTGGTGCCAGCTCAAGCAAATTGATGAACACTGGAGGACAGTGCTACAGTGCTACAATAGCTTATTAAGAGTTGCTAGTGGTTACAGGGACTGGCTGTGGTGTGATCAGAAGTTGCAGTGCCAGGTATTGTAGACTGCAAACCTGCTAGGGTAGGGCTCATCCCAAGTGGCAGTTCTGGGGATTTCACTCATGACTTATACATCCAAGGCACAGATTCTAAGACATACCTATTTCTCTGGACCTCTCATTCTAGAATTTAGATTCACATATTATTTAAACAGCAAAATATTCATTTAAAATATCCATTTTGATTCATAAAGACATTAGAGAGAAAAATGAGAGTTTTTTTCCCTAAGATCTATATTTGAAGATACTTTTGGATTTCTTCTGGTTTTCCTTCCAAGATGTTGCCAATCATTGGAATTTGATTTTAATCTTAATTACTTGAATATACACATGAATTGTAAAGAAAACTATATAACTTAACTGAAAGTTCATATCAGTTTATATAATATGACACATACTGTTTTTTTCCCAAAAGGAAATGTTCAGGACAAGCATAAGGAAGAAAACTTGCTTTTATGGAAGAAAAAAAAAAGTCTTTAATTCATAACTTTATGCAGGGTTGCCTGAAGCCATAGGCAATACTAGAGTTTTATACTTTACAGCTGTAAAAATAATTACATGTGCATTATCTAAACAGCTATCTCTAATGAATTACATTTGTTATCTTTTCATTATGTCCTCCAAAATGCGCAAATAACATAGTACAAGGGGAGGGGGAGGTACTTGATTTGTTTGACTTAGAATTTTGATAGTTTTGAAACATTTTAGTATTCATATTTTAAATAAAATATTATGTTCCCAGGTTGATTTAAAGTTTACAAAACAGAGAAGTTGTACATATTATTTCTATATGAAAAGTATTTTATATTATCATATTTTAAATTATTATAGGTGGAAATAGTTCATTTTTAGAGGTATTAGTATATATCAATAATGTGATCTAACAAAGGCACATATTGTCTTCTAAGATTAACTCTTTTTTTCTATAAATATTATCTTTGGGGGCATATATTGTTAGCACCTTGTAGTCATGTAAGCATATAAATTTTGAAAGATTTTATATTTTCTTTTTTTATATGTAGTGGTAACGAGTTGTTTGTTCAACAAAATTTGTGCCTATATATTTTTTAATAACTACTATTATAATGCTATGATTTTACCATACTTTCTTTATCTCACTGTCCTTGCCGAAGGGAAATTCTCAGTTTTTTTAAGTAAAATTTTCCAAGTGATCATAATAACATTGTGCTGAAACTGTCTTAATAGACATATGTAATTATGTTAGATGGGTCAGAGAAAATATATAAGATGGAAGCTATTGCCTTGCATGTGACCCCAGTTCGATCCCCGTGACTGCATACGGTCATCTGAACACTGACAACGGTTACCCCTGAGCACTCCCTTGCCCTCCCAAAATAATCTTTTCTTTGAGTGAATATTATGATTTGACTCAAATGTATACCTATATTTATTTGATATAGAAAACATTTTTAAAAAATTGAAAATAAAAAATATAGAATAATGTAAACCTCAGTTTGTAGTTTTGGACATAAATTTTAACTTTTCTTTGAGATAACACTTTGAGCATAAGCCTCTGACATTGTAGTACTTCATCAATGAATATTGATGTTTAAATTCCTTTGAAATTGAAACACATGCAAGCAAGTAAAAAATTAACAGCTACATATTCAGTTCATTGTATTTATTATTATTATTATTATTATTATTATTATTATTATTATTTTGCTTTTTGGGTCACACCCAGCAATGCACAGGGGTTACTCCTGGCTTTGCACTCAGGAATCACTTCTGGCGGTGCTCAGGGGACCATATGGGATGCTGGAAATCGAACCCGGGTTGGCAGCGTGCAAGGCAAACACCCTACCCGCTGTACTATGGCTCCAGTCCCAGTTCATTGTATTTTAAAGATGAATATCTGTTACAACTTCATATTTACCTTTCCAAATACACTCACTATCCAGGCATACTAATTTAAGTTCTATTAGAATACTAAAACAATTCATGTTTTATTATTTACTGGGGCAAAATTGAGTGAGAGAAATGTGGCTAATATTTTAAAATTTTGTGTTGAAATATGTATCTGTGTGCCTACTTTGGAAATATGGAAACAGATATTTATAATGTGTTCAAGAATACCTAGCTGGTAAACAATGTAGTTGTTTTTAAGACTTATGCCAAACAACTTATGGTTACTGGGATTTTAACAAGTAAAACCAATTTTGCTGTGTGAGCTGTTTTGAAATGACAACCTATTTGGTTTCTTTTTTACATTTTATTCCAATATGTACAAATACTTGTTTTACAGATGTTAACATAACATCAGTGCACAAAATGACTTACAGTAATTATTTTTACTCTACAGTGTTGATTATAGAAATTGAGTTATAAAACTCTCTGAATATGATATAACTAAAGCAATCCCAAAATGTCAGAAAATACAAAATGATATTCTTGGTAACAGTGAGTCTTTACTGGTACTTTCTTGGGAGGACTAGGTGATTTGGGATCACACACAGCAGTGCTCAGGGAGGGTTCACCCCTGGTGATGCTTAGGGTCTTTCAGGCTTGCTCCCAAGATGCTCAGGGACCAGGTGGTGCTGGAGTTGTAACCAGGGACTGCCACATGCATGGCACTTGCAACCCCTTCACCGTCTCCTGTCCCAGTGGTGCTTTCTAACAATCTCCCTGACTTATTGTAGTGGGAAAACACTATTATTTTGCTTTGCAAGTGTGTGTCAAGTTTCATAGTCTGAACATTTAAATTGTAACTAAGTTATTGCATTCTGGTGGTTTTGCCTTACTGTATATATAGTGTGTTTAATAAGCAGATATATCATCCCAGTGTGTCATGGAAATAAAAAGGGAGGATTTGTTAAAATCATTTGCACATGGATGAAACATAGGCAGTAAGGAGAGAAGAAATGCAAGTTTAAGATAAACCAGATAGTAACATTGAGGGGCAGTGAGGTGAATTATATCAACCCACCGACCTATGAAAAAGAGCCAGTTATCCCCGTGTGCAGGCTTAAAGGCAGATATCTCTATGAAATTGCACCTGTCAGAAAGTAGGAATAAATCCTCCAAGATGTATTGAGATAGCACTTAGCCATAGTTTATTCTAATCCAAGCTTCTTTTGCTGAAGTTCAGAGATAAAGACTGCCTATGGTGCTCATGAGTGTTAATGATTTCCTCTTGTTCCTACAGTTCTCCGGGATGACTTCAGACAGAATCCTTCAGATGTCATGGTGGCAGTTGGGGAGCCCGCGGTGATGGAGTGCCAGCCACCACGAGGCCATCCAGAACCCACCATTTCATGGAAGAAAGATGGCTCTCCACTGGATGATAAAGATGAAAGAATAACCGTGAGTATCCAGTTAAGCAGTGGGAAGCGTTGCTAGATCAGAAAAGAGAGAAGCATGAGGAATGTTCTTTAACGTCAAGAACGGCAGTAGCTTCCATGCCCAACTCTTCAAATGAAGTCTGTTTAGTTTTCCCTGGGTTGCCATGAAAAAGAGGAGGAAAATGCTGCAGGATTTGTTTGAAGATCAGCAACAGGAAGCGATAATGTCTATGTTAATGTCTTACAGATAACCTTTTGTGTATGACTTATTTTCATAACTCAAAGCCTGTCACACCTCTGTGACAGTAAGATTGTTGTAAAAAAAATCTGGTTGGAATAGGTTGCTAGAGAATCTCCTTAGCCATTTCATTTCAGGATTTTTACTTTCCCTCTTACTTTTTCTTTGTTTGTTTTACGGAGTTTCAATATTTATTCTTAAAAACAATTTTATTACTGAATGATGACAAGTATTATTTGTCTCATTGCAAAATAAATTGGTGTAACTAGTTTGTTTTCAAGCTCCTGGTATACTGCACAAAGCAGATTCACTGCCTTTGCCAAGTAATGATGCATTTTTTTCTCCCTTAGCATCAGTGATTCAGTCTTTCTTTCTTTTTTCTTTTTTTTTTTTTTTTTGCTTTATTCTCAGTGCTTCGACTGGTACATAATCATATATTATTTTTATGCTTTTTTTTGTTCTCACTCTTTCTGTCTCTGTCTTTCTGTATCTCCTTTTCTCCTTTCTCTCTCTTACACACACACACACACACACACACACACACACACGCATACACATACTCACTCATGATATGAAAACATATCATAAGTTTATTATTGAAGATTTAAAGTTCCCAAGGGCAAATGTAAAGAAAAGGTCAGTGCTAATGATGTAGAAGAACAAATTTGTGACACAGACCTCATAATCCTAGTAAATACAGTTAGCAGATGAGCATGGGAATTTAGTGGTGGGGAAAGACAGAGAAAATCATGGTAAGCAAGATTTTAGGCACATTGAAATGAAATTAAGTACTTATTATTAAGTACTTTCTCTGCACACATCTGAATTAGAATGAGTTTCTCATAGGATTGTTAAATTCTAGGAATTGCAGTGAGGATGGCCTAGCTCAACTTTTAAGAGTTTTGGAAAGTCATGTGTCAAAGTGACCTGCATTTGGCAAAATGAACGTTGGTTTTGGGAACTGAGCCAAGAAGCACAAGGAGATTGAACATCTAGGAGCAAAAATTTCTCTTGTTAGTGAAAACAAAGTCCTTTAAAATTTATGCACAAGTAAGATAATTTCCTGAAATACACATATTGTAATTTAATGGCATTTATAATTCTAATTTCCCTGCTCTAATGGTACAAGCATATTGAAATCATGAGTACTCATCTCCTTCCTCATAAACAGGGGAGGTTTCTATGTCAATGCTGTGTGCTTTTATTTAATGCAAATTATTAACTAAGTTCTCAGTTTTGGAGATGTAGTGTTAAACAGAAATGATGGAGTGCTCTTTCTTTTCATCTTTTTTTCGTTTTTTTTAGGGTCATACCCAGCTGGGCACACAACTTACTCCTAGCTCTGTACTCAGGGATCACTCCTGACTGAGCTTGGGAGATCACGTGTTATGAGGGATCAAACTGACGTAGACCCTGTGCAACACAAGACGCATACTGCTATACTATCTCTCTGGCCCCTACCATTCTAGAGTCATACTACTGCACTATCTCTTTGGTCTCTCTCACTCTAGAGTTTGTATTTTTATGAGTACACAGATAAAATAGAATTATGCAAGAAAGTAGAATAATTTGAGGCTATAATAAATAAAAATGTGCCAGATTGTTATCTCTTGGGGCGCACCAGACAAGAAAAGGGTGAGTGAGAGCCTTCCCCACCCCAGGGGACCCAGCCCCTGCATTCAACCTCCACTACCAAATGACCAACTTGCTTCGGCCGCTTTCTGGACCTGAGGCTGTCAAGTGGCCACACTGTCCTCCCATTGTTCATCGATTTGTTCGAGCAGGCCCAGTAACATCTCCATTGTGAGACTTTGCTACTTACTGTGTTTGGCATATTGAATACCCTCAGTAGCTTGCTAGGCTCTCTGAGAGGGGCAGAGGAATTGAACCTGGCTTGGCCAGGCTAGCTGCGTGCAAGTCAAATGCCCTACCGCTGTTCTATCACTCCAGCCGCAATACTTCATAAGACACTTCCTACCCATTTTCCATAATTACCACACCATATTTGTTGGGGTTCAGACATTAGGCAACAAATCATAGAGATAAATATGCATGTATGTATGTGTATATATATGTGTGTATATATATATAAATATATATATATTTTGGAGAACCCAGCAAGCTACCACGAATATCCTACCCACATAGGCAGAGCCCGGCAAGCTCCCCATGGCGTATTTGATATGCTAACAATGGTGATGACAACAGGTCTCATTCCCCTGACCCTGAAAGAGCCTCCAGTCTTTGGGAAAGATGAGTAAGGATAGGCTGCTAAAATCTCAGGTCTGGGAGGAATGGAGACTTTACTGGTGCCTGTTCAAGTAAATCAGCAGACAACTCGATGACAGTGATACAGTGATGCACTGATAATAAATTTTATTAAAATGTTGTAAAAGATTAGGATAATGGATTAGGTGTGAGATAAGATTTCTATTTTAAATCAGATAATCAGAGAATGTTTCATATAAAGATCTGAAAAACTTGAGAAAGGAAACTCTATAGGTAGTCTAAAGTAGTCTAAGTAGGGACTGGGAAGGTAAAAGAGTGGTCAGGTGTATCTTGCTTTCCGCAGCAAGTCCCGGATAGTTCACTGTTCTGGCCTGTGATTCCCTGAGCACAGAGCCAGGAGTAAGCCCTGAGCACCACCAGAGAGCACTTCCTAACCAGAAACCAAACCAAAACAAAACGTCTTGGATTCAGACAAATGGTGTATTTTAACACCTTAAGATGGAGCGTACCTAATAAACTATAAAGCAGTGTTGTCAATGTGGTTGCAGCAAAGTGAGCAAAGCAGACCAGTTAGGCGCTTCTGCCACAGGAGAAATGAGTCTTTGAAACAGTTTGGAAGACAGTCTGGAAAGGGGGACATGGTAAGGTGTGGTTAGAATCTGATGTGTGGAGCAAAGATGCAGAACTGCTTAGAACTCCAGATGTGGCTAGTGGGAAGAATAGAACAGCTAAGGATCAACTGGTCGGTGCAAGTGAAAAGAGAGAGATGCCAATAAGCAAGGGGATGTAATATTTCATATGAGGAACATCAGGACTTCAGTTTTAGACATTGTAGTTTGAAATCTTTGTTAGTTATCCAAGTACAATGTCAGATAGACAATTGGGAACATGAGTCAGACATTCAAGAGTTGAGGTTGAGGCTAGAAAACAAAAATGAGTTGTGGTAGACACAAGTTCTCATTACTATGCAATCATCCCCTCTTTCTGGGCAGATGAAAGATTCTTCTTCTCAGCTTCTTTGCTGTGGGGTAGATGAATTTCACTAGCTCAGCTTCATGGGTTGTGACTGGAAATCAAAGAAATTAAACACTAATGAGTGGGTCTCCAGCCCTTTCTTTACTGTTTGACAACAGAGAGCTTAGGAGTTAGTACAAATGGAGGGTACGTGCCTGGCATGTAGCAGACCTGGGTTCAATCCCTAGCACCATGCATGGTCCCCAAAACCCCACCAAGAGGGATCCCTGCGGCAGGGGTTAAGCCCTCAACAGATCTCTGTGTTCCCCTCCCCCCAAATAAAGACTATTATATGGCAACCAAAGAAGCCACATGTGTCACCCTTGCAAGAACCATTTTGAAGGCAATCCCAGGAACCTATGCGTCTGACTTATGCATAAAAGATGTCTCAATTCCTGTCTCTTCATAATGTACATGTTGATTGTATGATCAGTGTTGATGTACTGAGTTCTGGGGAATTTTTTTAATATGGACTTACGTAACTGAAGACTGTAGGAATTATCAGTAAGTACATATTACAAAGCAAAATAGGAGTCTTGAACCCCCAAGGTAGTGATTATATATAGAAAGGAAAAGAGACTCGATATTCCATTCTCAGAGAAGAGGCAGAAATAGCAGTGAAGAGAGGGACAAGTAGGAGAACCAGAAAGGCAGGCAAGTGGAGACAGTGTTTTAAGGAGGGGGCAATGACTCATTCAGTTGCAGCTGGAACATCAAATAATACGGGGATTAAGAATTGACCGCCAGATTGTCTAATTTGGTGCACTGTCATGTATAAACCTAACAAGGACAGCTTTAGTAAAAGTGATTTAAGGGACATTGGAATGACTGAAGTTAGGCAAGAGTATAGTTATTTTTTTGCACCTCGTGTAGAAGATAAAAGGATAAAGGTGACTGTAGTTACACATCATTTAAATGTCTTAATCTTAAAAAGTTGTGTCACTGCTTGTGAGTCTGCATTTTTATGGCATTAATGATTAACAACAGTAGGGTAAATTTGGCTTTTTTTTAAAGAAAGTTCTTGCACCTTTTTTTTTTTGCAACAAATTCTCTCAGTATCAATTATTGTTTCAGAAGAAATTTTTATTCAAAATGTTTAATGTATTGTTGGATCCTCATTTACATTTGTCATTGAGGGATCCTAATCTGAAATTAAGGACGATTGGTTCCTCCACCTCATCGGTATTTCAGAGTCAATAAAAGAACCACGCTCTGTACGTAAACGTTGTATTAACCACTGACTATGAAACGAGGCCAAGATGTTAACATATAAATAATTATAAAATCACTTTAAAGCTGCCAAAATGATGATCTACAGTAGTGTTCCATATGCTAGGAAGTTGTAACATCTGAAACTTTTACTATTTCTATGACCATCTGTGTGTTTTGTATAAATTATAACTGTTAAACTGATAAACCGCTAGAGGTAGAAAGCACATTTTTACATGCAGGGAGATGAGTAGATAGAAAATCAGCAGTTTGGTTTCAGAATTACTTTTCCTGCTCACATCTTAATTGTTTTGGTTTTATTTTCTTCCTAG